TATGTTTTTCTTTTGGAAGTAATTTAAATGAAAATGTTTATAGAAGAGCTCTGTTCAGTATGTTTTTATTATTTAAAATAGTCTGCTTTATAAATAATCCAGAGTTGTTCATTCCTACTGCTACCTTTCACTGCTGCTGTCTTCTGTCCTCTGCATAGGTCTAATAGATCCACTGAAGGAAATCAACCTGAGATCAAATCATGTTAAAGTTTAAAAAATAATATATTGCTACAAAGATAGTAATAATTAGTTCAGCACTAAAGCAGTAGCAGATTCCAAAATCACCCAATGAAATTTGATTTGACTGTAATCAACCCAGCTTGTCTGAGGTACCTAAAATGGCTGCAGCCTTTCATTCGAAGAGGTTGACATATATTGGCATGTTGATTCTGAAAGACAGATTTAAGGGTTAAAATAATCATAATACTTAATCTACTGAGAAAGGAAAAGTTATAGTTGCTTTAGATGATTAACATCCTGTAATCAAATAGACTCTGCTTTACATTCCTGATCGATTCTTATTTATGCTACATTGAATACATTTTTACCTGAACAACTCAATGAATGAAAACCCACCTTACAATTGGAGAGCTTTAAAAACAGGAATCATTGAAGCATTTCTTTAAGAAAACATTCAGAATTAACAAATTGTGTAAAAATATGCAGTGTCCATTATATAAAGAGATTTTCCCTTTTTATAACTTGAAGAATTAAACTAGATATGACAACATATTTAATAGAGTAAAAGAGAACATGACTGTAAAATGCCATAGAATTGTTTGAAAATTAAATTAACAGGTTATTTCCATTTAAGTGCCCAAACATTTGCTTGGGGCAGGGGGAAGAGTGGTTAATTCAGTAAAATTCTGAACAAACTACTGCTAGTCATACATATTTTTAATGCAAAGAAATGGTTCGTTCTTATGGAGTTTATAGAGAACTAAAATTAGTGAAAACTAACTTTATTCCTAGTATCAGCTGCAAATAGCATGATCCATGTAATGCAGCTTACTCCACAATTTCTAAATCTATATTTTCTTTTTTTGTGTTGTATATATGAGTTTTTGGAATACTAGCTTGAGTCCTGAAATAGTGTTTCCTTAAATAAGTTTTTTTTTCTCAGCCTCAGTTCTCCCACACCTTATTGTTCAGCAAGAACATATCACTGTAGTCTTCCTTTATTTCTGTTCAAGTACTGTGAAATCCTGTACATCAACTTTCAAGGCAGTCTTTGCTTACGACAGTGTTTAATGTCAGAAAGGGTCTTTATTCTTCAGGTGTATCTGAAATACAGGAACCAAAATTCAGGAAGTAATGTTCAGGCAGGGCAAAACATTTGGGAGATAGAGAACTGCAAGTTTGTGTTTAGTTTCTTTAAAAAAAACAGATATTGTGAGATGTAATTGATTCCACCAAGAAAGATTGAATCTGAGGGAAAGAACAGAAATGCCTTGCAATGGTATCTCCATAATCTGCCCTTAATAGGAAAACTTTAGCAGTGTTAAGTCAAAATGGTCTTTTAGTCCTGTCAGCTGACATAGTTCAAACTCAGCTGGTAATTCAGTACCACACAGCTGTTTGTTCACCCCTCACTCCCTCTTCTCCAGACAGGATAGAGAGGAGTATCAAAAGAATGTAAACCCACAGGCTGAGATAAGAACTGTTTAGTAACCTAAGGTAAAGTAAAATATAGAGATAATTGAAAGTGTACCAACAATAAAAATACTGATAAAACCAGGAAATAACAAAAAAAATGAGATGAAAGCTCAGAAAATACAAATGATGCAAAATGCAATTACTCACGACTTGCTGACAGATAAACAGCCCAACCCAACCATCGATCGGTCCGTTCTGGGTAACTTCCCCCAGTTTATATGCTGGGCATGATGTGCTGTGGTATTGATTACCCCTTTGGCTTGTTTGGGTCAGGTGTCCTGTCTCTGCTCCATCCCAGCTTTTTGTGCCCCTCCTCACTGGCAGAGCATGAGAGACTGAAAAGATTGATTTAGAGTAAGTACTAAGCAACAACTAAAACATTGGTGTATTATCAGCATTGTTCTCAGACTAAACTGAAACACAGCACTGCACCAGCTACTAGGAAAAAAAATGACATAACATAAAGTAAGATGAGAAATATCTGACTTAAAAATCTAGAAAACACTAGAACTTTTTTAAAATAATTATGCTTTCATATATATATCACTATCAAAAGCAAATTACTAAATTTGAACTGAGAACCTTTAACTCTTAAAATACAGATTTGCATTTCCTAAGTAACACGTGTGATTTACTAGGAAAGTGACTTTTAAAAAGTAACTCGTATGGGTTTAGTGAGAGTACATAATAAAGCCAGCAGCAGTCTGTGTACATTAATGCTACTCATTTAATTAATATGTCTTCTCACTAATTTAATAATTTTAAATTAGCAGAACTTCTTAGGAGAGCAGATTATTTTAGTGGAAAGCTAATACCCTTTCTAGTCAGTATCATTGGAAAGGTAGGAATGAAAGCATGATTGAGTGAAAATGTAGCTGGTTATGAAAGCAAAGCTTGGAATTATTAATTTGCTGAAAAAAAAACCAAACCAAAACCTCAGGACTATCACATTTTAACACTCTCAGGTTTTGCTAAATGGACCAGGAAGATCAAAATATCTGTAATCATGGAATGACCTTGTTTTTTATGATCATGTGGAATAGAGATGCCCTCACCATTCAGATACAAGAAAAATAATCACTTCCAGAATTGCAAGTAAAGTGAGCTTGAAGTATGTTCTTGTGTAGTACTTTTGGCCTGCCAATGCATTTGAAGCATTCCTTGATAAGAGCAATTAAGAATTTTCTTTCCTAATGCTGACTTACAAGAATTGCCTTTTTGATAGTTTGATCTTCTATAATGGGCAGATGAACTTGTCTTCTGTCATCTTGAATGTAGTTTTTGGTAATATATTAACAAAACACCTGTTTCTGAAAGTTTTTAAGTTCTTATATCTAGTGATATAAGACACCAGTGATGCAGAGAGTGTGATGCTAAATGAGAACATCCAAGGAGCACAATTGATCAGAGCTGTTTGCCGAATGCTTGCATGATACGGGGGATTTAACAAGGATAAACAGGTTTCAGAACTGCCTTCTAATTTGTACCAATGGATAGTTTAGCATAGTGCAACTACCACTGTGCCAAGATCTGATCAAATACAGAATCACATGGCAGCCCCCTGGGCTCATTTTCCTGGGAGTACTTGCCAAGTCCAATCCCCTGTCATGCACTTTCCACTAGAGCTTGACCTCTAGGGCTGCTGGGGCTAAGGCCACATGCGTCAGCACAGAATCTTAGATGTTTTATTTTACACTGTTAATCTTTACTAGGTAAAAACATTTCCCACGATCTTAAAGCAGTTCTACGTGTAGCATGTTAATAGATTTGTTGCAAACATCTGATTTTTATCTTTGGCTATATATTCGCACATGGACTAGACAAAGATTATGGTATCTCTGTAATTCTTGCTATGAATTCCTTTAAAAAGATGTCAGTAGTCAGGTGGATAGCAATGATAAAAGGCTATAGGAACTTTTCATTTACTATAAACATGTGTGTATAAAGCACATGGTTTTGAATTGAGACTTCAGTACTTAAGTGCTTCATTTTTGTTGTGAAATGGAGAGCTAGAGGAACTAGTGTAACTTCTGGCTTCTGGACACTTTGTCTGCTCCAGAGGAGGACCTGTCATCTTCAGCATTGTTTTTATCTCCTCCACACCTCCCCTGGCCCACACACCTGAAAAAATCAGGAGAATGTTCTTGCATTATATGTAGTCTACTGTTTTTTCCTTTTTTTTGGGGGGGGGGACTTACCCATAGCTACATTTCTCCATCGTAGTTTTTGTGAAACTATATTTTGGGTTTGTGCTGAAAACAATTGATAACACATCATTGTTGTAGGTACTTCTGAGCAGTGCTCCTACATTGTCAAGTCCTTTTCTGCTTCTCACACTGCCCCACAAAAAGTAGGCTGAGGGTGCTCTGGTAGCTGGGAGGGACATAGAGAGGACAGTTGACCTCAACTGTCCAAAGGGACTTCCTGTTCCATATGGTAGTGTGCTCATCAATGAAAGCTGTGGGGAAGAAAAAGGAAGGGAAGGTACTTTATGTGTGATGGAGCCCTGCATTCCTGGGGATGGCTGAATACCTGCCTACTGGTAGGAAGCAGTGAATGAATTCCTTGTTTTGCTTTGCGTGTGTGGCCTTTGCTTTATCTATTAAACTCTCTTTATCTCAACCTACCAGTTTTCTCACTTTTAGCCTTTTGTTCCTCTCACCCATCCCATGGTGGGGTGGAAAAAAGCAGCTGTGTGGTGCTTAGCTGCCTATGAGGCAGTGGGCAGTAGCTGCCTGCAGAGAGACCTATGAACGTGTTGGTTGTCAATTAGTATTTTCTAAAGTACTTTGAGATGTTTAGGTGGAAGATGAGTGGCGCTTATTTGTAGGAAAATTACAAGAAGAAAAGTGCATCACCGTATTTCTCATAATGAATGTCTTAAAAAAGATTTCAAAGAATTTTGTGTATTGCATTTTCATTTTATTTTGGTAAAATAAGTTTTAACCATTAGATCACCACCAAAACACACATAATTTTAATTCTCTATTTCTCTTATTGGAAACCTGCACTTTTCATCTTTCTAATAACTGTGTAAAGAAGCACCAGCTACTAGGAACAAAAATAACTGTTACAGCTGAAACCAGGATGCTCTTGAAATTTCAGATTCTCCATTTAACTATCTTGCTTGCAAGCTGACCATCAAAGCTTTCTTGCCTTGCCAAATTACAGATGTTATCATTGTAATGTATTGCAGTATAACCATTATTTTTGGCATTTGCAACTATAGGTAATTCTAGTGGGATATTCTTTATTGATGAATATAGTGAACTATGTAAACAATAAATAAACTGGTTTGAATTTAGATTTTAAAACTTATTCATATCTTCTTTTTTTTTGCACAGGTGATAGATGTGAAGTAGATATAGATGAATGTATGTCTACTCCTTGCCTCAACCATGGAAGTTGCATTGATGATATCAGTTTTTATAAGTGCCACTGTAGAAGAGGTTTCATTGGAACAAACTGCGAGATCAATGTTAATGAATGTTTGCCAGATCCTTGTCTTCATGGAAGGTGGCTATCTTTATTTAACTGTTACCATCTCCAAGATAATGTACCTAACTAGCAATATTTAAAATTTAGTGATATGGGAAGGCTGATATATATACTCTTAATTATGTTCTTCTAGAAAATAAGAGTACTAGCAACTTAAAGATGATAGATGTTGCTTGCTTAAACTAATGTAATACACTGTTTTATTATCTCAGTTTCTCTTTCATTTTTATTCATTAGCGTAAACCAATTAGTTAGAGTTTAATATACGTAAAAACAAAGCTGTTACATGCCAAGAGACTGAAATGGGAAGACATCTTTGAATATGGCAATCAGAATCCTTATAAAACTCAGCACTCATAACATATGCATTTAACCCCCATTATTAAAACTTAGTGCTATGGATTTCAGTACGTTACCTGGAGTAATACTCACCTGGAGTATTGTGTGTAGTTCTGGTGTCCTCAACATAAAAAGGACATGGAACTGTTGGAACAAGTCCAGAGAAGGGCCACGAGGATGATCAGGGGATTGGAGCACCTCCCGTATGAAGACAGGCTGAGGAAGAGAAGGCTGTTCAGCCTGGAGAAGAGAAGGCTGCGTGGAGACCTCCTAGCAGCCTTCCAGTATCTGAAGGGGGCCTATAGGGATGCTGGAGAGGGACTCTTCATTACAGACTGTAGTGATAGGACAAGTGGTAACGGGTTAAAACTTAAACAGGGGAAGTTTAGGTTGGATATAAGGAGGAAATTCTTTCCTGTTAGGGTGGTGAGGCACTGGAATGGGTTGCCCAGGAAGGTTGTGAATGCTTCATCCCTAGCAGTGTTCAAGACCAGGCTGGACGAAGCCTTGGGTGACATGGTTTAGTGTGAGGTGTCCCTGCCCATGGCAGGGGGGGTGGAACTAGATGATCTTAAGTTCCTTTCCAACCCTAACTATTCTATGATTCTATGATACATCAGACCATTTTTTGAAAATATATGGAATGATACTACTAATGCTGAATCTAGAATTACATAGCTTCATCTGAATAACACTATTTTATATTTCAGATGTATAGATCTCATTGATGGATATCAATGCTCTTGTGAATCAGGATGGACCAGCTCAAGATGTGAGATAAATATTAATGTATGTCTTCAAATTTTATTTTAGTCTTAGGGGAAAGGGTAATATGCTGCTTGAAACTCATTTTTTCATTTAAGTAACTTCTGAACCCGTCAGTTTATTGAAAATGCATGACAAATCCAATTGTTTCAAATCATCTGAAAAGTTCATTATTTATTACTTACATGAAATGCTTTAGAAAAAACAGTTGAGAAAATGTTTAAAAGTGGAGTGTGAGTGAGAAATGTGAAAAGCCACAGCAAAATAAGCCAGCATTACCTGAAAATCATTCATCCCTCATGAATGACATAACTACCTAATTTACATTGCAAGCACCATTTGCTGTAGCTTAATTGTATGTTTGAATAGTAAAACTCAAGGTGCAATGTACTGCAGTGAAAGTAGGCATGACTAGTGTTTAAATTTTCAAAATCCAAGTAACTGTAGAATTCTATGACACAGAATGGTAGCATACAAGATACACTTCCCACTTCCTCCTCTTAAATTTAGGAATATTTTTGCTTTATCATGGTGAATGGCAATGTATAAGAAGGCATCTGTATATGTGAGTCTGTGCCATGAAGATTCCTGTGGTCAGCAAACCAAATTGTAGAAGATGACATCTGGTATAGCAAGGAACAGCCTTTACAATGTTGGCCACACTTTGGGGGAAGTATTGAATTTGTTTGGACTTTTTCAGATTTTGTGCCAAAAAGTTTAATAAGATCTTGGGATATGTTCCTTTCAAATGTATTTGCTTTCATGAGAAAATCTGGCTTGAGATCTGCCTCCCTTTGTGCTATCTGGCTTCAACTATTGTGCTTCTGAATTGTCAAAAGCACATTCCAAAATGTTATCTAAACTTCTTTTTAACTTATGTATGTATGTAAGAACCTTTCATGATTTTTATATATAGTCAAAAGTATTAAAAATGCTTCAGAGCTATAACTTTTCTTTTGAAAATGTATTACAGTCTCGCACAAGGAGTAAACCTAGCTGGAATATTATCTTCCAACTACCTTTACAGAAAGAAAATGTCAGAAAATAAGTAATTCAGCTCAAAAGTGTGCGCATCATGATATGATACTGCGAATTTGTATGATTATCAGCTGTTGCCAATGCTAATACAAAATACTTTTGAGTAATATTTTGTCTAGCAACATCCATCATTTACACTTTACTCCATTTTAAGAGAATGAAAGATTAAATGATCTGTAGACAACTGCATAAAATCATACTCAAAAGATAACCATATTTCATGCTGAAGTGTTTGAAAATGCACAGATTAGAAACTCGTAGAAAGAAACAGTATACATATATATTTGACATATAACTCTGTCAGACTTTGCTGTCCTGCAGGGGGCTAATGAGGAAACGCACTCGAGCCAGAAACAGCCAGCTGATGCCCTGGTAAAGTGTTCAAGACCAGGTTGGACGAGGCCTTGGGTGATATGATTTAGCGTAAGGTGTCCCTGCCCACAGCAGGGGGGTTGGAACTAGATGATCTTAAGGTCCTTTCCAACCCTAACGATTCTATGATTCTATGATTCTATGGCTATATTTTTTGATACTCATGTTATTTGCATGCAGTGCAATTCCCAGATTAGGCTGTAATGCAGGTGTCATACTTTTAAAGGCTCTAACACTGCATTCATCCTGCTCAGTCAGATATCATGCCTATGTAAGTCTTACAGTGATTAACAGGGCTGTCTGACTGTGTACGTGTGTGCACATCTGAATAATCACAGTAGGCTCATGCTCTATAATTGTTTTGCTCTAGAATAATATCAGCAAGTCCCACTGTTTAAAAGAATAATCAGGAATCAATCCAGGTAAATGTACTTCAATATCTTCTTCCCTTGAAGATAAATATCTTTGTATTAAGGGTGTTGTGGTTTAAACGAAGTCAGCCACACAGTTTCTACTAGCCCCCTCTTTTTCTTTCTTTCCCCTTCCTCCACGCCTCCTCCCCATTGCTCCCGGAGGGATGGGGAGGAGAATCAAAAGAATGTAACTCCCACGGGGTGAGATAAGAACAGTCCAGTAACTAAGGTATAACACAAATCACTACTGCTACCACCAATAATAATAATGGTAAGAGAAATAACAAGGGAAGAGAATACAATACCACCTACCGAAACAAGACCGACCAAGAAGAAAGTGCCCTTCCAGGTAACTCCCAGTTACCCCCCGGGCATGACGTGCTGTGGTATGGAATACCTCTCTGGCTAGTTTGGGTCAGGTGTCCCATCTCTGCTTCCTCCCAGCTTCCCCTCCTCCCTGGCAGAGCATGAGACTCACAAAGTCCTATGGCCAGTCTAAACATTTGAACAGTAACTGAAAATATCGGTGTTATCAGCTCTGTTCCCAGGCCGAAAGTCAAAACACAGTGCTGCACCAGCTATTAAGAAAGAGAAAAAATGACTGCTACTGCTAAACCCAGGACAGTATCCACCCCTTATTCCACACCATTCATGTCAATCTCAGATCCCCTCAATATCCCATCACTCTTACGTATATACATCCACATACACACACAGAGAGAAAAAGATCATTTCTTAGTGCATGGACCAATCCCTATAATGCTGCTGAGTCCATTCGGCCCATGATGTCAGGTTCCATCTCTTGTAACAATCTTTCAGGGCAGGAAAGGCTGTGTGCAGTGTTGGATCGTTGCCTGCTGATGCTGATCGTTCCTTTACTGCAGAACTCGTCTGGTTCTATCAAAGTTCATTCTCTGTTGGGATAATGGTTGGAGGGAAGTCCGGGCCAGTCGCTGGTGACCTGAAGACATCTAGTTGATGGGCTATGAAAGTATTACACAGCAGGCAACAGCATACAATTAAGTTCATTGGCTGTTTTCCCCTAAAATCAAATCCCCTTGAGGTATACATCGATCTTCCCCATCTTCCCACATTACCCACCAAGTATATCCAGGTCCCTGAGCAAAAGCAATCCCATGAGTGGGTTTGCCTTTACCTGAAGCAGGAATAACCCAGACTGTCTTCCCCAGCAAATGCTTTATGTGCACCACAGGAATTTTGTCCCCCTCTACAATATGTAAAAGTTCTGACTGGGCTGGGCCAGCCCTGTTGGCAGATCCTCTGGTGTTGACCAACCAGGTGGCCTTTGGTAAGTGTGTATCCCAATGCTTGAAAGTTCCCCCACCCATTGCTCTCAGTGTAGTTTTTAACAGCCCATTGTACCGTTCGATTTTCCCAGAGGCTGGTGCATGGTAGGGGATGTGATATACCCACTCAATGCCATGCTCTTTGGCCCAAATATCTATAAGGTTATTCCGGAAATGAGTCCCATTGTCTGACTCAATTCTCTCTGGGGTGCCGTGCTGCCACAAAATCTGTTTCTCAAGGCCCAGGATAGTGTTCTGGGCAATGGCATGGGGCACAGCGTATGTTTCCAGCCACCCGGTGGTTGCTTCCACCATGGTAAGCACATGGTGCTTGCCTTGGCGGGTTGGTGGGAGTATGATATAATCAGTCTGCCAGGCCTCCCCCAGCTGGATGGCTTTCACCTCAGCAAACTGACTCAATTCGCCCTCTCCTTCAGCAGTTTCTGCAACTTGTCGTCCAGGACTCCATACAGCTGCTTTCCATCTCTGATGCTTTCCCACAATACAGCAGGACCCATCAATAAACAAGGCATACTGTTTTTCACTTTCTGACAGTTTATTATATGGTGGGGCCTCTTCAGTACGCATCACCTCCTCTTCTGGTGATACTCCAAAATCTTTTCCCTCTGGCCAGTCCATGATGACTTCTAGAATGCCTGGATGACTGAGATTTCCTATTCGAGTTCATTGTGTAATGAGTGCAGCCCATTTACTCCATATAGCATCAGTTGCATGATGTGTAGAGGAGACCCTGCCTTTGAACATCCAGCCCAGCACGGGCAACCAGGGTGCCAGGAGGAGCTGTGCTTCAGTGCCAATCACTTTCGAAGCAGCTCGAACCCCTTCATAGGCTGCCAGTATCTCTTTCTCAGTTGGGGTATAGCTGGCCTCAGATCCTTTGTATTCCTGACTCCAAAAGCCAAGGGGTCGACCTCGAGTCTCCCCTGGAGCTTTCTGCCAGAGGCTCCAGGTAGGACCGTTCTCCCCAGCTGCAGTGTACAGTATATTTTTTACATCTGGTCCGGTCCGGACTGGTCCAAGGGCTACTGCATGAACTATCTTGCATTTAATTTGCTCAAAGGCTTGTTGTTGCTCAGGGCCCCATTTAAAATCATTCTTCTTCCGGGTCACATGATAGAGAGGGCTTACAATCGAACTGTAATTTGGGATGTGCATTCTCCAGAACCCCACTGCACCCAAGAAAGCTTGCGTTTCTTTCTTATTAGTTGGTGGAGACATTGCTGTTATCTTGTTGATCACATCTGTGGGGATCTGTCTACGTCCATCTTGCCATTTTATTCCCCAAAATTGAATCTCCTGTGCAGGTCCCTTGCCCTTACTCCGTTTTATGGCAAAACCGTATCTCAGCAGGATTTGGATTATTTTCCTCCCTTTCTCAAAGACTTCTTCCACTGTATCACCCAACGCAATAATGTCATCAATGTATTGCAGGTATTCTGGAGCTTGCCTCTGTTCCAGTGCAGTCTGGATCAGTCCATGGCAAATGGTAGGGCTGTGTTTCCACCCCTGGCACAGTCTGTTCCAAGTGTACTGGACACCCCTCTGAGTAAAAGCAAACTGTGGCCTGCACTCCGCTGCCAAAGGAATTGAGAAAAATGCATTGGCAATATCAGTTGTGGCCTACCACTTGCATGCCTTTGACACTAGTTCATACTGAAGTTCTAGCATGTCCGGTACGGCAGCACTCAATGGTGGTGTGACTTCATTCAGGCCACGACAGTTTACTGTTAGTCTCCACTCTCCATTAGACTTCCACACTGGCCATATGGGGCTACTAAATGATGAGTGGGACCTACTGATCACTCCCTGATTCTCCAGTCTACGGATCAGCTTATGGATGGGAATCAGGGAGTCTCGGTTCAGGCAAAATTGC